ATGCCCGTGTTACGTTCTAAGCAGAAATACAAGCACTGCACTTACACGCGCCTTTATACAAGAAACTGCACGGAGTTTAATGAACCTTGAAATTGCATTATTAAAGGGATTTTACGAGGAACGCAACGAAAGGGCAAGTAACCTGTATATTATTCAAAACTCATCCTCGTTTCAGAGAGAAAAAGATATGCCGATCAGTACCACAAAAAAAGGGGGAGAAAACGTTCTCAGGCGATCTCCTCCACGTATCAAAGCGAGTGAATTGTTCCGCTAATAAAACCGAGTGCGTTCATTCTTTTGATCGGCAGTAATACACGCGGTTTGCAGTGGAATACTTCATGCTAATCTCTGCGTCGCCAGGAGAATATCTGCTCTCCTCAGCTTTCTAAATATTTCTTAATTTCGCAGCATTCCGTGGATTTTTTCTTCCCCTTCTTCGCACGTTTCGATACTTGGCATGGAACGGTAGGAATGAAGTAAAATGAAAAATGGTTCAGGTGTTTCTCTTTAGCACTGGAACGAATGTTTCTGGAGTTTCATTGCTTGGGCACTGTTGACGGACGAAGATAGGGAAATTATGGGTGTACCCTGGGGAAAGTGTTAAAACGTGCTTTGCTGTGCTGAGGGAATTTTTCAGAGAAATTTGCTTCGATGGTAGTTATATTAATGCGAAGTGCAGATAGATTAAAAGGTAAATTACTGTTTATACTTCTGTGACACACTCCTCCAATATTGAACATAAAAATTGACAAAAGTTTGTCTCGAGAAATAGTATCTAACATTGAAAAGAAATTGGAATAGAAGAAAGAAATGTCACCAAAGTCGAATATCTCCGTATGTTTTCTTTTCACAGACGAGCGGAATCGCAATTCTGCGATCGAACGGGACAAATCCAAAGACAACAAAGTTTGACAGTTTTGTTAACGGCAAACACCGGCAACCAGAACGATGAAACACGCGCGTCAATCGTTTCCGCAAGAATGAGATTTCAAAGAGTCGCGAGGCGGCTTGTTCCGCCTGTATCCGCGGAAAAGCGACGAGTAAACACAGGGTAACGAAGAGAGAAAAAGAAAAAGCACACGCGGAGAAAAAAGAGAGAGAGAGAGGGAAAAAAGCTTGTCAATTATATTCACCGATCGAGGACGTCGGTACAGACGCCATTATTTTGTTTAAAACTGCGGTACAGTGGGTGGTAGCGGATCGATATCTCGCACAATATCTGAGACTTTCATTGTGCACGAAATTGCACACGGCCGTTTTCCCTGAATTTCGATGTCTCCCTGTTTAGCGAACGCTTTGCATTGGTGCACGCGCGACGCCGCACGCGTCCGCCATTCTCCGTCCGCCTCGCGGTTCGAGCGGTTGCAAATTAGCACGAAAATAACGAAGGGAGCCAGAGAAGGACGTCTGGGGCGCGTTCGCGCCACGGAATTCGATGGTTTTTTCATGAAAATCCGTGACTCGGGGATTTTTCTTAATTGGCTCGACGAACGACGATCGATACGCCAGTCACGCGACACGATGAAAGCTGATTAAATATTCGCGAGGAAAAGTTATTTCTTCTTCTTTCTTTTTTTTCAATTTATCTTACGCAGACGTTTCAAGTACTTGCGTACAGAGTGGTATGAAACTGCTTCAACAGTTGCACGGAAGTTACTTTTTCAGAGACACAGTATATTACGTCAACCCTTTACAATGTCACGTGACTTGAAAGTTATACTCGTCGAATATAAAATTTCAATTTGAAATGTTGAATTTTAATTTCCAAGTAATCACACAAAGCAATCGCTGTAAAAGTACACAAATGGCTGAGCATTTTGACACCTCGTTCATCTTCGCACCCCAATTTTTTCCACAGATATGGATCACCAAATTCAAAAACGAAAAACCCAGTTTCGGGAAAAAACGCATTTAAAGTTTGAAAAAATGAACGTTGACCTGGTAGCGTTCGGAACAGCTGAAAGAAGAATCGTTCTATAACAGAATGTGACGAAAAAAAGAATTCTATATTATGAATCTAATTTACACGTTTTAGCTCCGCTGAGAAATTGAATTTTTCTCTATTTCCTTACAGAAGCGTCATTATTTTTTGAAGCATCCTATATCCCAGGATATTATCTAATATTTCGATAAAAGGGATTACAGTATTACCAAGTTGCTCGCACGGGAGATAGTTGCGGAATTTCGAGCAGCTTTCCTACGAAAATTACTTGGATAAATTTACCCGCGAATGAGGATAGGTAGGCACTTTAGGTCGAAATAGAAACGCATTGTTCCTGTCAGGGGACACAACTTTCTGACGCTAACTATTCACCGTCTAAAGCAAACTTCTCGTCACGACCTCTCCTTTTAATACAGAATCCAGGGAGAGCCTTAGATCCTGACAAAACCCGAAACCAAGCTTTACGTACTTCTCTGACCGCCAGTAGGTACCCAGCATGTAACCTAATGAAACTTCAACTTCTCTTTATCGCCTCCTCCAAATAAATTTACCGCGTTACGACGATTATTACGGCCGTGAAAAAATTTCATCAAAATTCCACGAAACCGTCCTTCCAAAACAAATTCATCTATATTCAAAGCAGGAAATTCTACCGCTAAAGGAACACACTTGACGAATCACCAAGGAAATAATAGTCATTTTTACACGTGACATAACGTAGACATCGAAATCTGAATGGAGAATCCTCTAGAAAAAATAAACAAATAAAAGACACGTTTAAATTGGATTATATACATCTCTGACGAGCGAAACGACATTTATTGGCGTATCGCCAATTTTTTCGTCGCGGTTGCAACACACGCGACAGGCTATTTTATTGTAAAAATCGTTCGATCACGTTGATAGGCCATGGATAACAAAAAAAAAAAAAAAAAAAGGGACGTCGCGATAGAACAAAGCAAGCTAGTTTTTCCGATCGCAATCAACCGTTCGACGGTCGAATTAGAAACGTACGATTGGTGTAGTTAGTCCAAGCTCCTGATGGAACAAAGGCAGTTAAGGATACAAAGGAGGCTGTTACGGAATAACTTCAAACAACCGTTCCCTTCTTCCTTTTTTTTTTTTTTATTCCAACGCGACAAAAGTCTTACGATTTTTATTCGAACGTTAGGCGTTGATAAATGTTTCTTTTGCCCCGCGTCACTTTTAACACGAGAATCCTCTTCGCCGAAAAATTCACCATCCGTTTCCGATACTTGAGGAGGACTACTTGTTGGAAACTTTATCGGGTAAAGAATACAAAGGATTCTAAAGGGGGGGAGAAGTTTTAACGATACTTGTAAAATTGTTAAGAATTGTACAGCCGCGATGGCGACAGGACAAAATGTCTAAACCGCGAAACTTTCTCCCGGAGCGTCCTCGTTCTGCCATTTTCTTGCGTTAATGGTAAGTTCGTTTAAAGAGCAACTTGAGTAGACTTCGAATTGCAAAATTTCCAATTTATCGAAGTATCCTTTATCGAGAAGATACTTGTTTTTTTGAATATTTGAACAGGAAGTTCCATTTCGGAAGAACGGTTTTTGGTACGATCAGAGAATCTTCGATCTCGTTAGGCGTGTTTTATGAAACGAGACTTATCGAAAATTTCGCGACCCTTTTAGCCTTCGACCACCTAATTGGTATTGAAAACTTGGACGGTCGAGCAATTTCATCGCGGAAGAAATCGAGGATTTTTCTTTCTCTCTTTTCTTTTACGTAAATTCCAGGACGCTGCGTGCACAAGTCCAATACGATTATGCGAAGATAAGACGCGGCGGATTATTCGTTTGGAAAGTTCGAGCTGTTCTGCTGCTTGAGGATATTGACGACGCCCTTTAACCTTTCGACCACCGTAAAACGTAGTCACGAATGCATCTTTGTGCGTGCACACACGCGCGTAAAATCGTGGATTATGGAGATAACAAAGGTGGAGGATAAGTGATTTTCTGAGATTCTTATTTGTGGAAAATTGACAGGTAGAAATGGCGAGTTTGGGCGTATGGAATTATGAGATAAATGTTTACAGCCCTCTGTGAGTTTATTTCTCATTTTCTTTTGATAACGATGGGAAAGTATAATTTGAGATAGGTTGTGTGGAAAGTTTTTTGTAATATTGATGAAACTGATTAATGTTTGAAAAATGTAAATTCGAGTTTAATTGGAAATCGAAGGTTTCTAAATGATAGAAAAAGTTTACGTTCTAATGAGGAATTGAATGTTACTTTTTTGCTTCTGGTAAAGGTTTCTCGAGGGATTTCACGTAGATATGAGTTTTGTTTGTTTTATAAGTACAGCACGGTGAAAGTTACACGTGACCAGAGACGATTTACTTTCATCCTTTGGCCATCTGTTGAAAGTTCAACCCGATTAACCATCGTGATTTGATGGTGATCGCGCGATGAATAAAAATGTACCGAAGTGTTTGTGCGTTGATTTGAAATTTATTAGAAACGGGTAGGATGAATATGAATGGAATGCTTAAATCACGCGAATGAACCTGCGAAACTTAAATATTAACTAACTTAATTTATACCAATTTATAAGTCACGTAAAATTTTATTCCAAATGTAGATCTAAAAAATTTTTAATGCAAGTTCAAACTTAAAACATTTGACAACTTGTACGTTCAAATTTAAATTTAAAACATTGGTAAACTCAAATTTAAAAAACTGGAAATCTCAAATTTAAGAAATTGGAAAACTCAAATTTAAGAAATTGGAAATCTCAAGTTTCTAAAACTGGAATACTCAAATTTCAAAAATGGGAAATCTCAAATTTAAGAAATTGGAAAACTCAAATTTAAGAAATTGAAAATCTCAAGTTTCTAAAACTGGAATACTCAAATTTCAAAAATGGGAAATCTCAAATTTAAGAAATTGGAAAACCCAAATTTAAAAAGCTGGAAATCTCAAATCTAATAAATGGAAAAACTTAAATTTCAAAAACGGGAAAATTAAAATGCAAATTTTATTAATTTTCCACGAGCGAAAGATAAGATCACGCAATTCGATTATCTTACTTGAAGTGTTCGTCGTTCCGGATCGCGGCAGAGAGCCCTGACGAAATGCGGATCCAAATAGTCAGTCATAGTAGCCCTGCCTCTAGACTACTCTGCGATCCTTTTTCCTGCGTGCTCCTGTGTCCAGCTGAAGGACCTCTTCCTGGACATCGCCACCAATGGTCGCGACCTCTGATCACTCTAGTTCTCTCTAATACCGCGTGATCTCTTTTCGGCCATTCAACAGGCCGACAGTCTCGCTATAGTCTTTGCAAAATCTTTCACTTTCATTTTCGTTTCTCTTTTCCACGATTCGTTTCGTTTCGATCAATAATTCAACGTATACTTGAGAACACAACGGTTTTTCTTCATGCGTGATGCAGCAAAAGACATTTTAACAGAGACGAGATCTCTCGTTTTCGATCTTCCATAGCGAATTTCCTTCGCTTAATCGGCGATGGCAGGTGATTAACTCTGTAACAATAAAAACAAACCACGTTAGAAATACAAACTATTTTCAATATTTATAGAATGGTATCTCGTCAAGATCTCAAGCATGGAAATCATTTCATTGTTACTCGAGTTCGACGACCGAAATTTGTACAAAGACCAGGCATTCACATTGTCAAAGCTGAGACCCATTAATCAACTCTCCTCACCGCAAATTTATCGTCTAGTTAAAGGTGAATCCCCGTTTCTATCGCTTTCTTCCACAACCTTTTCCTACTTTCTCTCCTCCATAGAGATCAATTAAAGTCCCTAGAATCTTCTCCTATTTATCTCCTCCCGTTTAATTCAGCCTCTCTTTCACCCAACGCAATAGAGAACCTACCTCCTGCTGTCTTGAATAAACCGATCCCAAGAAGACCAAACCGAACTGCATATTCAAACCGCTGAATATTCAGTGTAACCCGGAACAGCCAGTTAACACATTCACAAGCCATCAAAAGCAAACTTAGAACAGCCTCACACACACAAACACGTCAGACACATTCGTTTCCATCGCCATGCAACGTAAACTAATCGTGACTGGACGTATTTCCAAACGATCCAAACCAAACTTAGAATCGAACTCTAACAGTCCATCTAAATCACAGAAGCGGATCGAATGCCAAACAGCTCTTGATCTCGAATACCTTTCAGCGTAGAACTTCAGAAAGGATAGCTGAGACAGAGAGGCGAAGAAAGAAGAGGTACCGTTACGAATTATGAATGAATCGCGAAACAAGGTGCTGGATGAATTATAAGCGCGACGGAAGTTGCTCGTTAAGGTGTGCTGCACCTGTAGATAGATACGGCGAAATGATAGAGCCGGCCAAACTGGAAATATAGTGGCTCGTCGAGCTGTGTGTGTTTTTTCTTCTTCTTCCTTTCTTTTCCTCGCCATCCGAATCAGATCCGCGTCGAGATGACCGAGCTACACTCGTTGGCTGTGTTGCTCCCGAGGCCAGACGAAAGCAAATGTCGGAAACAAATGTTGGGGAAGAGAGGCATCGATTTCTCGGTTCATTCTCCGACCTTGGTGTATGTAACGTCACGCGAGCCACATACCTAACTACCTTCGTAGCAAAAGTCGTGGCCAGAGTTCCACCGGCCACACACACAGCCGACCAACCGTGAAACGGACCAAACCCGATCTACCAGGCATTCGATCTACGTGAAACGAGACCAGGTCGCGGATAGTCGCGATCTGATACGAGATGCGTCGATCCTGCAAATCGAGTTGATAAACTGCCAGACGCGGGGAGAGATGGGATGAACGCTAGCTAGACTACCACGAGGCGTTCAACTTTTTCGTGCGGTCCCGACGCGAGGATACTATTGCCCGGGATTACCTCGTTACCATTTGCGCAATCAGAGAGTGATTTACGGCTGGTTCGGTGGAATTCGAGAGAAGAAAAGTTCCAACGCTCAGGGAGAGATTTAAGAGATTAGATGTTAACAACGAGGGATGCGCTGTTAGAGTGTCTCGGAGTTTCTGCTCGTCGTTCTTTCCTTCGATATTTCATAGGTTGGCACGATTTTGTGTATTCTTTTTATTTATTTGTTTCGTTCAAGTTGGATTATCAGCGGAATGGAATTTACAATTTTTCGAGGAGATTTGTATTTTTTTTAGAAATGTTCAGTAGTGTCTTTTTCTTGTTATTTAGGTTTCTCCGCATACTTTCGTCGATGTCGCAATATTTTCCTTCAGATTTGACGTTCTTCTCGATAGTTTACTTCTTGTTCTAATAAACGAGAAATATTTCATTCACTGTAACGCCATGTGACTTCGAGGTTACGATTATTTATTGTTACACCGTTGCACTATTTTTACAATAATTAAAATTTCTACATCTTATTATCTTCTCGTGAACGAAGAAAAATAAGGTTGCAGAGGGCTAAGCTATGATTTTTCATTGAGTGTACCAAGGAAAGAAATGCTCGCAGTTACTGATTTTCACTAGATCTCTACGTAAATTGAAGTGGGACCCTTGTTTAAGAACGTGGTTTAATTAAGAAGAATTTAGATCATTAAAGACATTGCATCTCTACCAAAAGGTACAAAAATAAGTTCCTTCAATCGGAAACGAAGATCGATCGACTACTTTTTCTTCCTACTTCCTTTCTCCGCGAAGGCACCCACATTTCCTCCTATCTTCGGTACAAATATCTCAAATATCGAGCATAATTTC